AAGATGGTGGACGGAAACATCTCAGTTTGGGAAAGAATGAAGCATTCTCAGGAGAAATTGTCAGTTCAAGAGTTTAACACGAAAACTGCACAGGAAAGTTTCTTGTCTTACACAATTGACAAGGACAAAGTTAAGCCAACATATAATTTTATAAATAAGATACGCCGGTATGTAAGCCTATACCATGGTTTTGCTCTGTGTTTTGTTTCCTATTTTGAGGATCCTTTATTTGAGGATGTGGGTTTTGCCTCCATCAGCACCTGTCCTTCCCCTAACCTCGCTAAGAGTCGAGGTTCTTTGACCTCTCTGAAGTTGAAGTCTATTGGCTTTTCTAATTCTTGCCAATCTACTGGAGTTCCCTTTTCTAATCTAAATGTCTATCTTAACCCCTGCTGCCTTCCAAAGAACACATGAAAGTTCCTAGTGACCATGAAAATTTTACTTGAAAATAAGTTAATAGCAAATATAGCAAAGTTAAAGTCTTTTTGCTGATGCTGTTGTTTTGAGATGGGGTCTCAGTATGTAGGCCTAGTTGGCCTGGTACTCACTGTGGAAAAGGTCTTCCTAGGGCTGTGCTAACAGGTGTGAGACACCCTGCCTGACTCAGAAGTATCTTTGAATGGAATTATTACTAAATGTTATTTCTAAATCCAATGTCCTTGTTGGAGAAAGAAAAGGACCTGAGACCCAGAGAGACACAAAGGAAACAGATGGAGTTACGGCAGAGACGAAGCACAGCAATGAGCCAAGCAATGCTGTCATAGTCAGCAGCAGGAGGGACAGAGGTGGAAGGACTTCTTTATCAGAATTCTAGGAGGAGTCAATCCTACTAGTGTCTTGACTGTAGTCTTCAGACTGTGAGCCAACACATTTCCATGGCTTTATACCACTGAGTTTATGGCAACTTGTTACAGAAATCTTGGCCATGAATACAAATCTTTTCTTTCTTTTTCTTTTTTTCCTTTTCTTTCCTGTTTCTCTTTTTACTCAACTGGCAAAATTCTGACTCAGGATGGCTCCCATCGCTTTATCCAAAGCGGTGATGGACAGCCACAGCTAATAAAATGGTCATTGGTGCTATATTAGTTATTTTCTAGTTGTAGTTGCTGTGACCAAACACCTGATAAGGAACAGCTTGGAGGAGGCTCATAGTGAGGGGATGTAAGTCCATGGTGGTGGGATGGTGTGGTGGGGGGCAATGGGGATGGTGTGGTGTCAGGGCAATGGGGATGGTACGGTGGGGGTCAATGGGGATGCTGTGATTGGGGACAATGGGGATGGTGTGGTGGGGAGCAATGGGGATGGTGTAGTGTCAGGGCAATGGGGATGGTGTGGTGGCAGGGGCTTCATGAAAGCAGGAGCTTCCAGAAGATACCTGTTCACATCTCTGCTGATCTGGAAGCAATGGAGGAGACGGGTAAAGGTCTGGGTTTCTGCGTTCCTCTCTGCAGCATCCATTTTTAGCTAGAATCCTCCACTTTTAATATATGACACACCTTGGTCCCTAATGGGGTTGTTTATCTTTTGCTACCCTTCTTTTCAGTGATGTTTCATCACCCTGTCCTGATTTCAGGACAAAATAAACCTTTTAGTTGATTACGTCAGGATTTCTCTTATCCCTGAAGATGCATTCTCTTAGTCGTTACCCCCCTCCACTCACTCTCATTCAGCCTCCTAGGATGTATGAGACTTCAGAGTGAAATCTGACCACACTCTCTGACTGAAAAACCCCACTGCAAAAACTTCTCTACCTGTTGTGATGGCTCTGAGCGAGCTGTCTTACTAGCTTCAATAAGAGTAACTGAATAATGACTTTTCTTTAAAAGGATACACATACAAAACAAACATATGTACACCAGCTGAATATGGCTGATCAGTCTGAACTTTTATATATTTCTCGTATTTGTGACTTACCCAAACATAGCAAAGTCAACATTTTTAATTATATACCAGAACACAATTCATTGTTTTGACTATTCCTATGTTGTCAAATTATCCCTTTGGGGTAAGAACTAGCCCAGAAGGTTTCTCCTCTGCAAAAATAATAAATAACACTCTGGAATCCAATTAAGAAGAAGGGATGCTACAGGGTGAAACATGGGATTTAAAATAAGCTAGAATAGCTTCAGCACATGGTTTGCTCATCCATCTATTATGATAAAAAGTTCTTCTATAGTGTACCCTTCTAGTCCAGGAGTTGTCTATTTTTATTGATGTATAATCTTACTGATTCTTGGAGAATTTCTTACATGCCGATAATGTATTTTGGCCATATTCACATGCCTCTCCTTCCCCCAACTCCTTCTAGATCTATCCGTCAATCCTCATGTTCCCTCTCTTTTTTGTGTAACTAACAGAGTCCAATGTGGGTGAGGAGACATCCCATGGAGCAAGGGCAATTACCAGGGCTCCAACCTTAAAGATAACTCCTCAGCAGAAACCAATGTCAATAGATCCTCAGAGGACGCTTCCATTTCCTTTCTGTTCTACTGCTTTCTGCCTTATGTCACCGACAGAGTACGTTTCATTTAGATTTCCTCTCTACTTCCTTTTCATGTTTCTTTAATGGGGATGAACTCTTCCCTGCTCCGTGCTGGGATGTCAACAAGCTTGATCTCATGAAGGTGTTTTGTAGGCAACCACAACTGCTGTGAGCTCATGTCTACAGTGGTCCTGTCAAAACCAAGGAGGGCAGTTCACCCCATTTCTCCCTGACCTCTTTTCCCTCTTCTGCGATGTTCTCTGAGGTTTGGAGTAGGGAGGTATGATATAGATGATCCTTTCTGATTGAACACTCTGCAGACACTGATTCTCTGCACTCTGACCTTTGTGAGCTTCTGGAGTAACAGCCAACCATTGCACAAAGAAACTTCTCTGGAGTGGTCTGAAAGCTGCTTTTAGGCTCAGGTATACAGCTGTCGAGGGCAGTTTGCAACTATGTCCATTTAGGAGCTGTGTCTTTTAAAAAGAGACAGAAATCACATCTAAATGACATGCTTAACTGCCCAATCCAACAGCCTGGTTATGGTGACCACGGCAAAAACAATGAGAAAGATTTAAAGTTAGGGAGTCTACAGGCTATTGACCCCAAGACTTTTTTTACATGCAAAGTTTTCAGATTGTTAATATTTCATGAGCTATCTGATACCATCATGTTTGCCTCTATCCACGGGGAGGAGAAGGCGGAGTCAAAGTGAAGGGACTGCTCCAGAGGGGCAATGATTTAGAAACTCATGAAATGAGAAGCTCGTTCTCACCTCAGAAACCAGCAAGTCAGAACTATGGGGCTATGGTATTGAGGGAGCAGGTACTGGGAGTGTCCATCATGAGAACTATGCCCATCTCAAAATCTTCCTGTTTGTTACTCTAGTTTCTTTGTGCAGTTTGATTTGTTGACGGACATTCAGGCACAAGAAGTCGACCACTGAAGTGTTTCATTTGTGAGTGGGGCAGAGGACAGAAGCCCAAGCAATAGAGGAGGTGCTAGCCTTGAGGAGAGATAGCAGGATGAGTTTCTAGAAAATGTTAGGAGAATATAACAAAAGCCTAGAAGAGGGCCCAGGGAGTGACAGGATCCATAAACAGAAACAAAGGGCTATACACTAACTTGTAGTATTCTCAGGTCATAAGCTAAATCTTTAAGCCCCAGTGTGTCTTTGGAGACCAGCTAGGTTTAAATAAAGTCAAGATCATGGGGTCTCTGATAAGTCACCCCCCATTCAGATGACACCCAGTCAGCATTCTTTCTGTGCATACACAGAAAGAAGAAGGAAGGTCCGTGAGCGTGTAGTGAGATGGAGACCACTGATCAGCCCACCAATAGGTTTCCAAAAGAAACCAACATGGCTTGTAACTTTACTTGAGACTTATAGCTTTTGTGAACATGAGAAATAAACATCTTTTGTTTAAGCCATCTAGTGGGAAGTATTTTGGTATAGTGACCCAAGACTACCACAAAATCAAATCCAATCTGCACACATTTCCTACCATCTCCTCAAAAACCATCAAGATAAAACTCCTTGTCAGTCGGGTGGTGGCAGCACATGCCTATGATCACAGCACTCAGGAGGCAGAGGCAGGCAGATCTCTGTGAGTTCGAGACCAGCCTAGTCTACAAGAGTTAGTTCTAGGACAGGCTCCAAAGCTACAGAGAAACCCTGTCTTGAAAAACCAAAACAATCAACCAACCAACCAAACAAACAAACTCCTTGTCATTGATTTTTCTCTCCACATCTGCCTGTTCTTAAAAACAGCCACCTGCTTTGCTCATTAAGTCTCCACCAACAAAAATTCATGTAAAGGACTGATTCCTACCCGCCTGTTTGGTTGATGAGGAAGCTGAGGTACAGGTAAATAAACTAAACAAGCTCCTCTAACCAGCAAGTACCGGAACCTGGATCCGAACCCAGGAGGCCTGGCTCCAGGAATGACGACGTGTGGCTGAGCTTATCTCAACCCAACATTTCCCAGCTGGCCACTGAGCTATGAAACGCATGGCTAACTTCACATCGCGGTGAGAATTCACTTCCATTCTTTGTTTTTCTGCCTAGTTCAAGAATCATTTATTCATGATTCTTCCTCCATGAAATAACCCGATCTTATCTGCCAACGACCGTACATAAGTCATTTTCTGCTGGGTGTTGAGTTTTGCTGGAGCAATGACAATCGGTGAATAATAAGAAATGGATTGTCAGGGCTGTAGTGAAATTATTCAATTATAGAAAAGGTGGAATTCCAAGTCCAGATTATTTATAGATCAAACAAAAGCAGTCATTTTTAAATTAAAAAAATAGCTAACAAGAGAAAAGAAAAACCTCCGTGAGAGAAGGGACAGCATCTGAGGCTTAAAATCCAGTCCTTACCATATCAGCAATTATTAAAGGCGAGAGCAATCCCAAGACTGGAGTCTCTGCTTTGGGTCAGACAGCTGATGGAAATCAAATCCTCAGAGTTTAACTCAATGAACAGCCAATGAGAAAGAAGGCCAGCAGCCACCTTACCTGCTGATGTGTGCTTGAACTTTTCACTTTTCTTCTTCCTCCATTTCCAAGGCTTGAAAATCCTCCCCAGGTTGGCAAACTTACTCCTCCTCCGGATAGGTGGGGTGTGTGTACCAGGGACCAGAGAGTCAGAACGCATGGCCGCCAGCCTCTCCACTTCCTCGGCTTGTTTTTCCCAAGAAAGCGATGGAAATAAAGAGAAGGGGGGAAAAAGTGTTAAAATGGGAGTCTCACAGATGGCCAGCTTTTCCATGGTGACAGATAACAGAAACCACGTGACTTGAGCTCCGTTTGCCTTTTGGAATGGAAGTCATACCAACGTGTTCTGAAAGCTTGGGGACCGTCAGTCAAACCCTAGAGATCTAGAACACCTTTACTGAATTTGCTAATATTTAAAGAGGCAGGTTCTTATTGTGGCGTGCAGGCTGGTCCCAGCCTCCTAGTTTCAAGCAACACTTCCGCTTCAGCCTCCTGAGTAACTAGGACTATAGGCATGCCACCACCATCCCAATCAAATATATTCAGCCTTGACTAAGGTGGCAGGGAAGGAAGGGGATGGAGATGTCAGGGGCTCACCCAGCAGATGACAGAACTCCCCAGAAGCCATCTGAAGACTCACAGGAGAGTCGATGTAACTATTAGCGTGGTAATTTCTCACCCAATATATGGCGGTTATCATCTCAATAGAATTGCTGGTTGAGACGGGAGGAAAAAACCATCATCTGCTTTCTGTTCTGGTGGTGCTGTCTCCACCACCCACTGCTTGCTGCTTCTTACTGCCCTGCTGCTGGATTCAGGCTCTCGAAGCACTGAGATTTGGAAGGGAGCGGTCCCCTCCTTTGGTAAACGGGCAATATTAAAATCGTGCACACTTCCATTAGGGTTTTCCCATGGCCTCGCTTCCTTTTATCCTGGAGCCTTGCTTTAAAATGTTTCTAGGCTGTGAGCCCTGGGAAACTCTTCAGAGAACATGCAAGACTGGCCCCAATAGTCACATTGTTATAGTTTGGATTTGGAGTGTTCCTCCAAAGTCTGATGTGTTAAACTTGGTCTCCAGTCTGTGGCCCTATCAGGAGGTGGTGCAATCTTTAGAAGGTGGGGTCCATTGGGAGGAAGTTCAGGGGTATGCCCTTGAACTGGGTATTTGGACTCCAACTTTTCCTCTTCCTGTCTCATTGCTTCCTGGCAGTGAGGTGAGCGGGCAGCTTTCATCTACCATATTATTCCTGTCTTCATAAGAATTTGTTCCCTGGTCTCCTGTATCAGACGCAGTCCTTGATTGACCATGGGACTGGAGAGTTTGCCTGTTGGGGTTTGAACATGCTTTTGACATAGGCCTCCCCTTCACTCACAAATACTGGTGGAATCAACTATGTGTCACGGGGCATCCTGGGGCAGTCATACTGGTGAGAAGGGACAAGATGGCAGTTTCTGAGCGGCAGGATTTAAGGGTTATGAATGTATCTGGGAGACATGTAGAAATCAAAGTCTATTCATAGGTCACATGACTGACTGAGCGACCTGAAGGGCCGGAGATGGATCATTCTCAATGTCCAGATTCAGGTCAGCAGAATGGAACCTTCATTATTAACACAAAGAACACGAGGGGGGGAAGGGGGTGATGTAGGAGGGTCTTCTATCTATCTGTTGCTTTCATTGGTTAATTAATAAAGAGAACTGCTTGACCTGATAGGTCAGAACATAGGTAGGTAGGGAAGACAGAACAGAATTGTGGGAGAAAGAAAGCAGAGGCAGGCAAACGCCATGGAACCAGCTGCCAGGTCAGACATGCTGAATCTTTCCCGGTAAGCCACGACCTCGTGGTGCTACACAGATTATTAGATATGGGTTAGTCAAGATGTGAGAGTTAGCCAATAAGAGGCTGGAGATAACGGGCCAGGCAGTGTTTAAAAGAATACAGTTTCCGTGTAATTATTTTGGGTGTAAACTAGCCAGGGAGCCAGGATCCCGGTGGGAACACAGCCCGCCGCCCCTTTTGCAACAGGGAGGCACAATTTTGGGGGTGGGGACAACAATGATTGAACATGTTGAAATAAAGAAGGCACTTAATCCTTCAACTACGGGTGCTCTTAGACTGAGGACAGGGTTACATCCTGGTAAACTGTCACTAATTAAAATGCCATTCAGTTCCAGACACACTGACTGCATGCGACCTACGAGGTGTTACTGCTTAGCCAAAGAGAGTACTACAGAGCACCGCTGTTTCTCCTTGTGGCTGAACTTACAAGAAACGGTCTCTGGTGCTGTGAGCTGCCAGAGAGGATCTGACCCAGCATTACCAGCCAAGGAAAAGATCTCGATTAAAAAGGCAAAGTACGGTTTCTACTTTGCATATCACCTTTACACCACTCTATGTTGAAAGACCTAAAGTCTAACCATGTATAGCTGGGGACCATCTGTATATGATTCAACGTATAGGTAGCTCTTCTTCCCCATTGTTTGATCAACTGACCACTTAATACTAGGACGGGCACTGTGGTCACTTCTGGGGAAGACTAAAAGATGAAGTAGATGTAATCGTGAAAGCACATGTAAGGAGCAGAGAAGACAGGGGTAAGTGTGTCCGTCATTGCAACAGGGGCATCCAGCCTAAAATCTAAGAGATAACTGTTCATTCCCAGTGCTGGAGAGGCCCCTGGAGAGAGCTCATGTTTCTAGGTTTTGATAGAGAAAGGCAATTTTCTCTCATGGAAAAAAATAGAGAGGAGTAGATGCCTGGCCGAAGAACACACCCAAGAGGGCTGAAAACATGACCCATCTTGAAACAAAAAGGGGCTGAATCCAGCAGTGACATCAACGGAGAACTGTCATCGGAGGAGTCTGGAACCAGCTCGCCTGAACTCCTGGCAGGATTCATTATGCATTTGGGTTTTTATCTCAGAATCAGAAGGGAAAGTATGGCAATTTTTAAAAGGGTACTTGCTCGTACTGTATGTATCAGATGTTCACGTCTTACTAGAGAAAGGGGCTATAACAGAACAGAAGGACATACTGACTGATAAGGTTATACCAGGATGTAGGGCAGCCAATCAGCCCTGAGCCTGAGGTATAGAAGATGCTAGAAGATACATGCTGTGGGGCAACCCCCCCCCCAAAGAATGAGTGCATTCTAGTAAAGGACATCCAAAGTTCTCAGAGGAGGGGCTTGGTTTTAATTGGTAGGTAAAGGCTGTGCTTCCACGCAAACTGTCTCTTTTCAGTTTCTGGTACTGAATGCTCAGTTTAGCAGTGGCTGTAGATGGGACTCTTGGTTAATAAACTATCAACCAAGTTTATCTCATTAACCAAGATTAACTCATCAGTGGATGAGTCTATCGACAACTTCCTAATTTGATGGCATCACTGGGGAATGGTGGGAATTAGGAAGTGGGGCCTAATTGAAGGAAGCAGTCACTGGGACCAAGTCTAGACCCTCCTAGTCCCTGTCTCTCTGCTTCCTCACTGTCATGAGGTGAGCAATTCTCCTTCACAACACACTGTTGCCAGATATTCTGCCTTACTGTGGGCCCAAAGATGACCACAGACCCAAATTTCCAAACTGCAAGCCAAAAGTCATTGTAAAAACTGTTCATCTTAGGTATTTGTCAGAACAACACAAACGCTAACTAACACTATTGGGATACAATAGCAATTGGATGTTTCATAGGAATATTACTGTAAATGGAGACTCTGCTTTCGTTCCCAGCTGCCCAGACCCAGATAATCACATAAAAACTATATCAATTACAACACTGTTTGGCCAACGGCTTAGGCATATACCTAGCAAGCTATTACATCTTAAATTAACCCATTTCTATTATTTTATATTTTACCACAAGGTTCGTGGTTTACCGGTAAGGTTCTGGTGTCTTTCTCCTTTGGTAGCTACACGGCATCTCTCTGATGCTGTCTTCTTTCTCCCTGCATTCAGATTAGTTTTCTACACCTAACTCTATTCTGCCCTACCATAGGCCAAAGCGGCTTCATTATTAACCAGTGGTAATAAAACATCTCCACAGCATACAGAGGGGAATCCCATATCATATTACTGCAGCAGACAAAAAGAAACACATTGGAATATAAGGAAAAGGTGCCCAAGAGAATAACCAGAAGGCCTCCTTACTCACCTTCCCTAGTTCCTAGGAAGGCAGTGCCAGAAATTCAGAAATAACAGTTGTGATTCAAGCAGGGGCATGCCAAAGGAAGAATGACCAAAGTTTGGGGTTTTCATGACAATGATGTGATGTCTTTAAATAAACATTGACGAGAAAGGAAGGAGTAGAAGGTATTGGCAGCTCAATGTCAAGGACCTTGGGCCCAGATAATATGACCTTCCCCCCCCCAAAGGTTAAATTTTATAGCCCAAGGTTTTGGGGAACTATTTTAGGAAATTTTCCAGGTGGGAGAGCAGAAACAATGTTATCTTCAGGGCACATTGCAGGATTCAGGATACTAGGAAGAGGGTGAGAAGTTTAGGGAACGGGATTTCCAGGAAGGAGAAGAGAAGGAGGGGTCAGCACGCACACCAGCGCTCAGCACCTCAAGTCTTTATGCAGTGCTGTTGAAAGCTTAACCGAGGCTTGCATCGGGTCAGACCTAGACAGAAAGGAGATTCCTCCCGCAGCCCCGGGGTGGGCAGGTGGAGGCTGAGGGAAGAAGATGAAGGTTTGGGAGACTTTCTTTAAGTGTGCATTGCAGATCACCAAGAAGGCGTTAAAACTAAAAAGAAAGCAAAAGCAGGCTGTAATAAAACTTGAAAAGGAAGTCAACTAGAACAGGCAAGATGAGCCGGGGCAGCAGCGCATTTGGACCTCCTTGCCTTTAGACGGTACCAGCTGCTGGAGCTGCTGCTGCTGCTGTAGTGGCAGCAGCTGGGTTGGATGGCTGATAGAGTTCAGATCTGGACTGAGGAGAAGTAAGCAGCTCCCCTCCATGTCCTCAGTAGCAGCTCAATGCCCCCAGGTTCCTGTCCTGTTTGCGTTCCTCAGCGATGGACCGTGGCGAAGAATGGTGAGCTGAGCTAAACTCTTTCCTCTTCAAGTTGCTTTTGGTTACGTGTGGCGCTACGGCAATAGGACAGTGACTGAAGTTGTTCTCAGCTGCATCTTTAAGTGATGGATAAAAACGGTTCAGATTGTTGCATTAAAATAATTGCAACCAATTAG